CTAAGTATAGAGTAGGTGCTTCTATATTTAGTGTTAGAAGTTAAACATTTAAATAAATCAGGTTGAAACCTGCTCTGAATACCATACGTGCTAAAGCTTAGTCTTTGAAAGAAAAGAAGTTGTATCTATGACACTATTCTCTTGTGACGTGGTTGTTTACAACCAAAAGGCAGAAGCTGGTGAAGCTAGCCTTGCGAAGGTTAAGAGCCCTAAGACACACAGCTCTTGGAGATGGTCTTCGTCTGGACCTAGTGCAAAAGTAGCTTTGCTACAGTAGCTCTGCTACAATGTATATCATGATGAAAGTGAGCATGAGCGCCGAAAAACTTGTTTTCATACTTTCCAGTAGACCTACTGCTTGGTTTCTATTTGGTGAGAACTGCCGTTGAACACATGTCACTAAAGCTTAGAGGGGTTAGAAGTGTCATCAAGATGCGTTTTCTATACGTATATAAATGGATCACATGAAGCGGGAAAGGATTGGCTGTTATAATATAGGGAATAATGTAAACTTCACGCTTCGTTCTATCCACTTTTGGTCCAAATGAACTCTACCAGATTCAGTACGAGGTGTTGACTGCACGATCTACTTTCCCACGTCTGACAAAGAAAAAACTATCTCCTTGGGCTGTTAGCTGAGCAAGTTCTTTGAACTTACTAGGTTTAGCAGTTAAGATTAGTTTCACACACGATGCATCATCGAGCGGGGTTCATATCGTTAGCCGGTCAAAGAGGTTAGTAGATAGGCCAGTCAGTATCAGTCTAGATAGGCTGTACTAAATAACGTCATCATCGTATGTCTTGCTGGTGCGGCGAGAACACCGTATTTAATAAGCAGATAGTTTTCATTGACACTAAGTTTCACCTTCACCGTACACTGTGTACATGCAACGGTATGCACGGCTTGCATTTAATACAACGCTACGGGGAATGTATTTCCATATATTGAACAAATTATTCCGTTGTGAATGTTTCGGTAAGAAAAGTCGTTTTTTCATGTTTTCAAGACGAAACACGAGATTTAGCTGATACAACATTATGGTACACACCGGTTGCCACATCAATCAAATACTTATGAGAACATCTTGACGCGTACAAAGCTCTTGCTTAGTTTCCCTCGGCTTAAGAAGCTCTTCTAGGCAAGCGTCAGCCAACAATCAACAAATTTGTCATACATGACAAAGCAAAGGTTTGCCTGGTGATTCTTCGACCGTCAAAGACGTCTCGAGCAACTGCCATTGATGATAAGTACACGAAGCCGGACTACTGAACGTGGTGTCGAATGATGGACAATTTGAAATAAAAAACGCAAAAAGGAGATGGATGATAAGGATTGGCGCGCTTGAAGATTTAACCGCGCCTATCCTTATCTTCTCCTGTAACGGGATTACACAAAGGTTTCTGTAACGGAGTTATACAAAGGTGTGTATTGTACATACACACCTGCTACACCATTGTGGTGTGGTTGTGCCTTGGGTACAGTGGTAGGTTGATGTGACCGTACCTAAGGTACGAAGGGTTGCATCGTGGACAGAGATCTTCGTGGTCACTATACTTCGTTAAGTATAGTGACTATACATGTTTACATATTAATAGGCTACAGAGCTAGTAAATAGCGACTAGCACTAAGTATAGAGTAGGTGCTTCTATATTTAGTGTTAGAAGTTAAACATTTAAATAAATCAGGTTGAAACCTGCTCTGAATACCATACGTGCTAAAGCTTAGTCTTTGAAAGAAAAGAAGTTGTATCTATGACACTATTCTCTTGTGACGTGGTTGTTTACAACCAAAAGGCAGAAGCTGGTGAAGCTAGCCTTGCGAAGGTTAAGAGCCCTAAGACACACAGCTCTTGGAGATGGTCTTCGTCTGGACCTAGTGCAAAAGTAGCTTTGCTACAGTAGCTCTGCTACAATGTATATCATGATGAAAGTGAGCATGAGCGCCGAAAAACTTGTTTTCATACTTTCCAGTAGACCTACTGCTTGGTTTCTATTTGGTGAGAACTGCCGTTGAACACATGTCACTAAAGCTTAGAGGGGTTAGAAGTGTCATCAAGATGCGTTTTCTATACGTATATAAATGGATCACATGAAGCGGGAAAGGATTGGCTGTTATAATATAGGGAATAATGTAAACTTCACGCTTCGTTCTATCCACTTTTGGTCCAAATGAACTCTACCAGATTCAGTACGAGGTGTTGACTGCACGATCTACTTTCCCACGTCTGACAAAGAAAAAACTATCTCCTTGGGCTGTTAGCTGAGCAAGTTCTTTGAACTTACTAGGTTTAGCAGTTAAGATTAGTTTCACACACGATGCATCATCGAGCGGGGTTCATATCGTTAGCCGGTCAAAGAGGTTAGTAGATAGGCCAGTCAGTATCAGTCTAGATAGGCTGTACTAAATAACGTCATCATCGTATGTCTTGCTGGTGCGGCGAGAACACCGTATTTAATAAGCAGATAGTTTTCATTGACACTAAGTTTCACCTTCACCGTACACTGTGTACATGCAACGGTATGCACGGCTTGCATTTAATACAACGCTACGGGGAATGTATTTCCATATATTGAACAAATTATTCCGTTGTGAATGTTTCGGTAAGAAAAGTCGTTTTTTCATGTTTTCAAGACGAAACACGAGATTTAGCTGATACAACATTATGGTACACACCGGTTGCCACATCAATCAAATACTTATGAGAACATCTTGACGCGTACAAAGCTCTTGCTTAGTTTCCCTCGGCTTAAGAAGCTCTTCTAGGCAAGCGTCAGCCAACAATCAACAAATTTGTCATACATGACAAAGCAAAGGTTTGCCTGGTGATTCTTCGACCGTCAAAGACGTCTCGAGCAACTGCCATTGATGATAAGTACACGAAGCCGGACTACTGAACGTGGTGTCGAATGATGGACAATTTGAAATAAAAAACGCAAAAAGGAGATGGATGATAAGGATTGGCGCGCTTGAAGATTTAACCGCGCCTATCCTTATCTTCTCCTGTAACGGGATTACACAAAGGTTTCTGTAACGGAGTTATACAAAGGTGTGTATTGTACATACACACCTGCTACACCATTGTGGTGTGGTTGTGCCTTGGGTACAGTGGTAGGTTGATGTGACCGTACCTAAGGTACGAAGGGTTGCATCGTGGGCAGAGATCTTCGTGGTCACTATACTTCGTTAAGTATAGTGACTATACATGTTTACATATTAATAGGCTACAGAGCTAGTAAATAGCGACTAGCACTAAGTATAGAGTAGGTGCTTCTATATTTAGTGTTAGAAGTTAAACATTTAAATAAATCAGGTTGAAACCTGCTCTGAATACCATACGTGCTAAAGCTTAGTCTTTGAAAGAAAAGAAGTTGTATCTATGACACTATTCTCTTGTGACGTGGTTGTTTACAACCAAAAGGCAGAAGCTGGTGAAGCTAGCCTTGCGAAGGTTAAGAGCCCTAAGACACACAGCTCTTGGAGATGGTCTTCGTCTGGACCTAGTGCAAAAGTAGCTTTGCTACAGTAGCTCTGCTACAATGTATATCATGATGAAAGTGAGCATGAGCGCCGAAAAACTTGTTTTCATACTTTCCAGTAGACCTACTGCTTGGTTTCTATTTGGTGAGAACTGCCGTTGAACACATGTCACTAAAGCTTAGAGGGGTTAGAAGTGTCATCAAGATGCGTTTTCTATACGTATATAAATGGATCACATGAAGCGGGAAAGGATTGGCTGTTATAATATAGGGAATAATGTAAACTTCACGCTTCGTTCTATCCACTTTTGGTCCAAATGAACTCTACCAGATTCAGTACGAGGTGTTGACTGCACGATCTACTTTCCCACGTCTGACAAAGAAAAAACTATCTCCTTGGGCTGTTAGCTGAGCAAGTTCTTTGAACTTACTAGGTTTAGCAGTTAAGATTAGTTTCACACACGATGCATCATCGAGCGGGGTTCATATCGTTAGCCGGTCAAAGAGGTTAGTAGATCAGTATCATTCTAGATAGGCTGTACTAAATAACGTCATCATCGTATGTCTTGCTGGTGCGGCGAGAACACCGTATTTAATAAGCAGATAGTTTTCATTGACACTAAGTTTCACCTTCACCGTACACTGTGTACATGCAACGGTATGCACGGCTTGCATTTAATACAACGCTACGGGGAATGTATTTCCATATATTGAACAAATTATTCCGTTGTGAATGTTTCGGTAAGAAAAGTCGTTTTTTCATGTTTTCAAGACGAAACACGAGATTTAGCTGATACAACATTATGGTACACACCGGTTGCCACATCAATCAAATACTTATGAGAACATCTTGACGCGTACAAAGCTCTTGCTTAGTTTCCCTCGGCTTAAGAAGCTCTTCTAGGCAAGCGTCAGCCAACAATCAACAAATTTGTCATACATGACAAAGCAAAGGTTTGCCTGGTGATTCTTCGACCGTCAAAGACGTCTCGAGCAACTGCCATTGATGATAAGTACACGAAGCCGGACTACTGAACGTGGTGTCGAATGATGGACAATTTGAAATAAAAAACGCAAAAAGGAGATGGATGATAAGGATTGGCGCGCTTGAAGATTTAACCGCGCCTATCCTTATCTTCTCCTGTAACGGGATTACACAAAGGTTTCTGTAACGGAGTTATACAAAGGTGTGTATTGTACATACACACCTGCTACACCATTGTGGTGTGGTTGTGCCTTGGGTACAGTGGTAGGTTGATGTGACCGTACCTAAGGTACGAAGGGTTGCATCGTGGGCAGAGATCTTCGTGGTCACTATACTTCGTTAAGTATAGTGACTATACATGTTTACATATTAATAGGCTACAGAGCTAGTAAATAGCGACTAGCACTAAGTATAGAGTAGGTGCTTCTATATTTAGTGTTAGAAGTTAAACATTTAAATAAATCAGGTTGAAACCTGCTCTGAATACCATACGTGCTAAAGCTTAGTCTTTGAAAGAAAAGAAGTTGTATCTATGACACTATTCTCTTGTGACGTGGTTGTTTACAACCAAAAGGCAGAAAACGTCGACATTCATGAGCTTCTCGTAGCCATCATTCACCATCTCCTCCGACAGTCGTGAATTGCCTGCACCTGCCATAAGGATACAATCTGTCTTTTTCACATACTGATTCAGTAGTTGTTTCAAACCATCGTAACGCTGATACCAATCAAATTGTTCCGAGTCTCTAAATGTATCAACAACCAAACAAAAAGTGTCAAAATGACTTTGTTTCTTATCACTTTTACCGTGTTACAATATGCCAGAGGTCAAGGCTAGAGATACACAACGTTATTTGCATTCGATAGAGAAAGAAATAGAACTTACTTAGTGTAGCGTTCGTCCCAGTAAGAGGCCTTGCCGTATTGTGCCATAGTTGGTAGACCAGATGTGTTGTTGTCTCTTAATGTGCGAAAAGTAAAACAATAGTGGGCATCTGTCACAAAAGTGAAAGTACCGTCTCTTGCGTACTTGAGCGAGAAGGAAGTGTACTAATGTCCTCATACATATAAAATACACCAAAAATAGACAAAATATAAACAAAATTTGTCAAAATAAAAAATTTGAATTCAAAGCGTCAGAAAAATATCAAAAAAAACTTGTATAACCTCAGAAATCATTTCTCCCGTCTCGTCCATCTTGCAAACATTTAGATTCATTACATTTGTAGCAAACCCAACAACTGTATCTTTGAACATTATTTCTTCATCTGCCAAGATAGTGCGTAGTCACGGTAGCTTTTCACTGTAATATGTGTGTTACTTAGTTTAATCTTAGTGCGATTTCGACTCGATTGACGAAGTTCTTTTTTTTGTCCGTGTAACGTGGGTGCAAAAAGGTGTGTATATATAATACACACCTGCCGCTCCATTATGGTGCGAGTGTACCTTGGGTACAGTGGAAGGTTAGTGTGACCCTACCTAAGGTACGAAGGGTCGCATTGTAACGGGGTTACACGACGGTGTGTATCTTACATACACACCTACCACACCAATGTGGTGTGACTGTACCTTGGGTATAAGAGTAGGCTCGATATGACCGTACCTAAAGTGCGAAGGGTCGCATCGTGGCAGAGAGCCACGTGTTCACTATACTATTTAAGTATAGTGACTATACATGTTTACATAATAATAAATGGCTATGGAGTCAGTAAATAGTGACTAGCACTAAGTATAGGATAGGTGCTTCGTTAATTAGTGCTAGAAGATAAACATAAATATAAATCGGTTTCAAACCTTCTCTATAAGCATCACTGCTTGAGCGTTCTATTCCTCCTGAGGAATTGTGTCATTGATACTAGTCTCTTTCAGACGCGGTTGTAACAACCGATAGGCACAAGCTTAAGCGCTAGCCTTGGAGGGTTAAGCACCCTAAGACGTAGAAGCTCTCTGAGCTTGTCTTCCTCTGCACATAGTGCATACGTAGCTTTGCTACAGTAGTTTTGCTACTTCATCTGCACAGCGTATCAGCACATCGTGCATAAGTAGCGTAGCTACAGTAGCTCGGCTACACCTGGTAGCACTTGTAGTCAATCTTGCACCTGGGTTTTTGACTACTTATCGGTGTGAGAATGGACATCGATGAGATGTCAGCGGTTGGCCTGTCATAGGCACAACAGGAAGGGTTGCAGAAGCTGCTCCCTATCTTTGGCCCTAAGGGCGTGGAATACCCAATCGCCCAGGGCGAAGAAGAGGTTAAAAAGCGTATGCATATGCTTGATGAATATAATAAAGCTCTAGTTGAGCATGTAAAAAAGGCACAGATGCTATCTTCTGCGCCTTCGCCCATGGCGACTATGGCGCAAGAAGTGGCACGCAGATCAAAACCCATACGAATGGAAGTCGATAAGTTCGACGGCAAAGAAGGTGACAACCTTATGCTTTGGTTCCGACAGGTCGAGTCGGCTATGTTTATAGCCGACATCACCTATGAACCGTACCGTGTGGTCTTTGCCACGGGCAAGTTAGGTGGTTTAGCCAAACAGTGGGCATTCACATGTGGTGCATCACTGCAAGATGCTTTTCCCACATGGGACGATCTGAAAGCTCAGATGACTCGGCAGTATGCACCAGACAAGCACACCGTAACCGGTCGCGGTTTTTGGCGTGTCGCCAAGGCAAGCGTGAGCTTGCGGCATATGTACAAGAGTTGAGAACTCTCATTGCTTCCATGGTCATAGATCCTATGCCTGAGGCAGTGACCGTCACGGTCTTCATGGAGGGCCTCCGAGTTGGCGTTGCCGAACGGAAGTCTTCCGGGTAAACCCGTCCTCATTCGAGGAAGCTGTTGGAGTGGCATGGAATGCCGAGACCAACTTTATGGCCGCTAGGCCTGCCACTTATAACTACTCGTCTGATGGGTCTGTACCCATGGACTGTAGTCAAGTGGAGGATGAAGAAGCTGAGCTTCAAGCTGCGGAGCAGCAAATTGTGCGCAGATGTTATATCTGCAAGAGCACAGCCATTTGATGGCAGAATGCTCTGCAAGAAAGGCATATTTGGCCTTGAAGGGGCGACGCCCCATAAGTAAACCGTCTGGTTGCGGCAGAGGAACGGCGGAACCCAGTAGGTGCGGGGCGCCCTACTGGGGAAGAACTGGGTTCTGTTGAACCTCTAGGAGGTAGAAGTAAGCAGGCCCAGCCCCAAAGAGATCCGAACTCTCAAAAACGGAACGAGAATGCAAGCCAGGCTTGCTAGTCGTTGAAGGAACGATTAAGGGCTATGATAAGCCATGGATCATTTTAATCGATTCGGGGGCATCGGGCATTATGTGCGCCGTGTCACCGTGGAAGGTACTCAGCAGCATGCTGAAGCGCTTGTAGCGCGTGAGAGTGACACAGTCACAGTTCGCTTAGCAACTGGTACGCGTGTTACGCTACCCAAATCCCGATGGACTTAAATGTAAAGTTCTTGGACTTTAACAGCATGGAACGCTGTTTGGTCTTAGACCTGGATGCGAGGTATGATCTCATCTTAGGCATGGCATGGCTAAAGTGTCATGAGCCATGGATTGATTTTAGGTCGAAGACCTTAGGCGCAACGCGCAATGCTCCTGGTGGGGCTCTCGAGAGTCATGAACCCACCTCTGCTAGGAAGAAAAAGCGCTTTTGGCGCGAATATTGGACCGATTCGGTCAATATGCTGGATGTCGGGATATCCGACTTTGTAGACACTGTAAGTGTCGAGGACAATAGTCCTGGGCGAGGCTCAATGACTGTCGATAGTGTGGTTAAGAACCCACTCGATGGCACATATGACATGTGTCATGAGAATGATGTTACATCATTATACACCGTCAGTGGTGTTGGTGGTTGCAAGCCAAGATGTCGGGACATGAGTCCAAGTGACATGAGCGACAAGGAAATGACTCTGGAGGGTCGGGTGGAGTCATCAATGGATGTTATTTTTGAGGACAACGAGGTGCAAGCATTTTTCTAGTGACAAGGTACCAGCCCAAGAGGGTCGGGTGAAGTCAAAATGACGGTTGTCTTTGATGACACGAGGTGCAAACACCTCATGACAAGGCATGACCCAAGACGATGGGGTGCAGTCAGTAAACGAATTGTTCTTTGACCTTGAGGTGTGTACACCTGTGGACGATGATGCGTCGGGTGCTGAGATCATCATGAGTAGCGATGATAATATCGTGAGTGACGGTGATAGCGAACAGCTATATACACTTGTCAAAGGTTTGACTGGGGATGTTGAAGAGCCGGTGGCTCTTTCGGCAATACCCGCAGTAAGTGCTCTGTTAGAGCTGGACGAGCTGTCCTTGCCGAGCTTGGAATTGCCTTACAGACAGGCGACATCGCCGAAGTGGTCGTTATACGACCTGAGGAGGAGTTAAACTCCTCATCGCTTTTAGATAAAGCAGTTCTTGAGGATACCAAGAAGGCGCTGGATGCGCGTAGTGGACCACAGATCCTGAAGGACCCTTCGGATCCTTATTTTCCTTTGTTGAAGGAATATGGAGATGTTGTCTCCAGAGAGCCTCCTAAGAGGTTACCTCCGGATAGAGGTGTACGTGGTTCCAGGAACCAAATATTGTGTCAAGCGACAATGGCCGCTGCCATGAGAACAATGTGACGTCATTGACGAGTTCTTTCGTGCAGAGCACGCGGCTGGCATGGTGCGCGAGAGTAACTCTCCTCACTCAACGCCCACGTTTTGTCTGAAAAAGCTTAATGGAAAGTGGCGAATAGTGCATGCTTACAATAAGCTGAATGCAGCCACTATCCCGGCTCAAACACCGATTCCTCGCAAGGATGTTTTTCAGAACAATATGGTGGGATGTACGATGTACAGTGCCCTCGACTTAGTCGATGGATATTACAACTGCTCATGCGAGCAAGTGATATCCCGCTGACAGTAGTCAGCACTCCGAGAGGTATGCTCTGGGAGTGGTTAGTGATGCTCCAAGGGCTACCTAACGCACCTGCAATGTTCAATCGTCTGGTGACGCAGTTGTTTCGGCCCCATAGAGAGTATGCACAGACATACTTTGACGATATATTCGTCCATAATCGAGCCGAAAATGGCAAGACTGATGTGGAGAATCACATCGAGCACCTGAAGATGTGCTCGGTTGCATGAGGATGCATAAGTTATATGACAATATTGACAAACGCATCTTCGGTGCGGAAGAGATTCTCTTTTTTGGGATGCTTCATTGGGAAGCGAGGAATCCGGGAAGACCCTGTTAAGGTCAAAGCCATAGTGGATTGGCCGGTTCCGAGGAACCAGAAGGACCTCCGCAAGTGGTTGGGCTTGGCAAATTACTTGCACAAGTATAGCCTCTACTATGTGGAAGTGGCTAGTCCATTGTCCAATCTCCTTAAAAAGGATGCGGAATGGTGTTGGAACACCGAGCTCCACGAGGACTTTTGAAGCCATTAAGGAGTAGACCTGTCTTTTTGACCCACCGGCCATCTGGCCTCTTAAATCTTAAAATATTTTACCGCAGAAGCATACCCGAGGTACCCCAAGGTCGACCTCTCTCACTGCCGACATCACATCTCAACCTAGTCCTCCAAAGTGTGCAACCCGCCAGCCGACGGGTACACAAGGTGAGAGAAGGTTTATACGCGGCATCGGGGTACCCCCTCCGACAGTCGGCAGTCCGGCACAGTGAGTGGCATGGGGTCTCATTACGCAGTTTTGAGAACCCACTCCACCACAATATTGCGTGTGCCCGGAGCTTTGTAAGACGCGGGATATCATACTGAGTCCCAAGAAGATGAGGATGTTCAAGCAAAGATTGAGAAAAAGACCGAAGATTCACTGGAAGACCAATCACCAGTGACTACAAAAGAATACGACAAAGGATCGAAGGAACGACCGGACCTTGGGAGGGGCCCGGTCAATATGGTCAAGGT